CGTCCCACCCCACTCGCCCCCGCGGCCCCACCGGGGTGGCACCGGGGGCTGATTGTCGCGCTGAGCCCCCCCTCTGCTCCAGCCGTCCCAGGATTTGGGGGTGGGGGGCACACAGGACCCTTTCCCACCCGGATTGGGGGTGCCGGGGGGGCTCTGGCGCCCCTCTCGCCCCCCGCCGTGGCTCAGTTGCCGTAGTAGCCGTAGTAGCCCCCGTCGGGGAGCGGCTCCCGGTCGTAGCCGTCGCCGTTGCGGGGCGGGGAGCAGCTCTCGGTGCTCTCGGGGTACGGGGACACTCTCCGCCGCTTGCACTCGTGCAGCCCCGAGTCCGACGAGTCCCCGGAGGCCGCGGCGGCGGGGGGCTCGCTGGCCCAGCCCTCCATCTCCTTGCCCTTCTCCTCGCGGGGCTCCCGGTACCAGCCCAGAGCCGCGGCGCCGCCCTTGGGGCCGTACTGCCCGGGGCTCCAGCCCCCCGGCACCCCGAAGCCCCCCGGCCCCTCGGGGTAGTAGGGCAGGGGCGGGTGCGGGGCCGGGGGCAGCGCCAGGGGTTTCACCCCGTAGGGCACCAGTTTGCCCCCCCCGTAGCCCCCCTCGTAGCCGCCGTAGTCCAGCGCGCCGGGGCCGGGGGGCTGCTGCGGGGGGAAGAACCAGGGCGGGGGGTCTTTGGGGGGCAGGGGCAGCCCAGCCCCCCGCTCCCCCCCGAAGAAGCGGCCGGGGGACAGCGGGAACTGCTCGGGCAGGAAGGGCTGGAAGCGCGGCAGCAGCTGCTGGCAGCCCGGAGCCTCCGGCGGGGACGGGGTCAGGCGGTCGCTCTCCGAGGCCGGGTACATCCTGGGGGGCACACGGTGGGGTTTGGGGGGGCTGCCCCTGGCGGGTGAAGGGAGCGGGGTGCGGGGGTGGCACTCACGAGTCAAAGTTGTCCCGGAATCCTTTGGCGAAGGGGTTGTGGTCGATCTTCAGCTGGGTGATCTGGGGGGGACGGCGGTTTGGGTGTCCCTCCTCCTTTGCCCCCATCCCACCGGAATGCCAGCCTCTGCCTGGGCAGGGGGTGCTGGGGGGCTGTGGGATGCTGAAGGGGTTCGGGGGGCGGTACTGGGATGTGTGGGCCGGTCCCGGGGGGGTAGTGGGGAATCCAGGGGGAGGCTCTGGAAATCTGAGGGGATCTGAGGGCACTGAGAGGATTTTGGGATGCTGAAGGGAGCCAGGGAGGATCCAGGGATGCCGAGGGGATGCAGGGGGGATCCGAGGATGCCGAGGGGATGCAGGGGGAGGATTCTGGGGTGCTGAGGGGATGCAGGGGGGAGCCGGGGATGAAGGGGGGACCCTGGGATGCTGAGGGGACGTTCCTGGGGTCGCAGGGATGCTGCAGACCGGGGTGCCCGCAGACAGGGATGGCCTGGGGAGAGGCCAGGGCGGTTTCCTGAAGCTGAGGACACCCTGGATGTCGCAGGGGGGATTAACGGGGCTGCTCTGGGACGGTTTTGGGTCGCTGTGGTGACACTGGGATCTCCTCTCTGGTTTCTGGGAGGGCGCTGGGGGCGTTGCTGGAGTTTTTGTGCTTTTGGGGGATTTTTTGGGGGGTGCCGCGCGCTGGGGACTGGCAGGGGGTCTCGCACTCACGTCGGCGTTCTGGTAGGCGGTGACGGCGATGAACTGCGTCTCGGGGAAGGCGAAGGTGTGGGTGTGCGGGGAGGGGTAGCCGTCCTCCCCCTCGCCCTCCTTCACCTCCGTGACGTGCAGCCGCGGCTGGTACTTGTGCAGCGACTGCAGCACGATCATCTGCGGGGGTACAAGGGGACAGCGAGCGGTCAGGGGAGGGGGGTCACAGCTAGCTGCCACGGCGGCGGGACCCTCCCCTCACCTGCCCGACGTTGTTGGAGGCTCCCTTGTTGTTGGTGAGCTTCAGCTTCCCGAAGGAAACCTCCTGGCGCATCCAGTGCGCGCCCGTGTTGGGCGAGTCGGGGTGCAGGTACAGGCGGTTCCCTGGGGAGGGGGCAGCGGCCGCAGCGTCACCCCCAGCCCGGCAGCGGCGCCAGGGGGAGGACGGGGAGGAAGGGCCCGTACCTGGCATGCTGCCCTCGGCTTTCCCGCACTGCACCCACTTGCCGCCCTGGTAGCGCCAGTGGTGCTGGTCCACCAGCACCACGTCCACGCTGACGCTGTAGTGCGCCGCGGGGTTCAGCCCCGACAGGCTGAAGCTGAGGAATGGGAACATTCGCCTGGGGATGGGACACAGGCACAGACACTGTCACCCCCCCCCCGGCTCGGCCCTTGGCGTGCAGGGCAGTTTGGGGTGGGGGGTGATGGGGAAACTGAGGCAGCGCGGTGCCCACCCCCCTCCCGGTGCCCTGAGGAGCTGAGTGACCCCGGCAGCTGGGGGAGGCTGTCGGGGCCGATCCCCCCCCGGCCCCGGTATCTTCCTCCCCCTCCCCAAGCACCTTCCGGATCGGAAACCAACACCGCTGCTATTTCGGGCTGGGCGCCAGCCCGCGCCAAGGGCAGGAAGGGGACACGGTGGCACCGGGGGGGACCCGGCAGCTGCCACCCCCGGGCTGCGCCCCGCTGCCCCCCGAGTGTCCCCTCAAACGGCAGCGCTGGGCCGGAGATCGCTGCTCCCTGCTCGGGACATCCCTGCTCCTGCTCGGGGACACCTCTGCTCCTGCTTGGGGACATCCCTGCTCCTGCTTGGGGACATCCCTGCTCCTGCTTGGGGACACCTCTGCTCCTGCTTGGGGACACCCCTGCTCCTGCTTGGGGACACCTCTGCTCCCTGCTCGGGACACCTCTGCTCCTGCTCTGCCCCTCGTGTCCAGCACTGGCTGCTCGCCCCAGGCTCCCAAGTATCCCCAGGATCCCCACTATCCCCAGTGTCCCCACTATCCCCAGTGTCCCCACTATCCCCAGTGTCCCCACTATCCCCAGTGTCCCCACTATCCCCAGTGTCCCCACTATCCCCAGTGTCCCCACTATCCCCAGTGTCCCCAGTATCCCCACTATCCCCAGTGTCCCCACTATCCCCAGTGTCCCCAGTATCCCCACTATCCCCAGTGTCCCCACTATCCCCAGTGTCCCCAGTATCCCCACTATCCCCAGTGTCCCCACTATCCCCAGTGTCCCCAGTATCCCCACTATCCCCAGTGTCCCCACTATCCCCAGTGTCCCCAGTATCCCCACTATCCCCAGTGTCCCCACTATCCCCAGTGTCCCCAGTATCCCCACTATCCCCAGTGTCCCCACTATCCCCAGTGTCCCCAGTATCCCCACTATCCCCAGTGTCCCCACTATCCCCAGTGTCCCCAGTATCCCCACTATCCCCAGTGTCCCCACTATCCCCAGTGTCCCCAGTATCCCCACTATCCCCAGTGTCCCCACTATCCCCAGTGTCCCCAGTATCCCCACTATCCCCAGTGTCCCCACTATCCCCAGTGTCCCCAGTATCCCCACTATCCCCAGTGTCCCCACTATCCCCAGTGTCCCCAGTATCCCCACTATCCCCAGTGTCCCCACTATCCCCAGTGTCCCCAGTATCCCCACTATCCCCAGTGTCCCCACTATCCCCAGTGTCCCCAGTATCCCCACTATCCCCAGTGTCCCCAGTATCCCCAGTGTCCCCAGTGTTCCCAATGTCCCCAGTATCCCCAGTATCCCCAGTATCCAGCCCAGCCTGGCACCGGGGTCTCGCCGTGGCTGTGGGCACCGGTTCGGCCCCCCCGCGTTTCCCAGCCTTGGAATTTTGGCAACTCCTGGAGCTCCGATGGCCGAGCTGGACACAGGGGTGCCCCCCCAGTAGTGCCCCCCCCGGCAGAAAGCCACCAGCGGCCACCCCTGAAAGCCACACGGGGCGTCCCACACTCAGGGAATGCTCCCCCCGAATTCCAGAGGGGACAGGGGACCCCCGGGAAAAGAGGGGTCCGGGCTCCCCCCAGGAAGCGGGGCTGGGGCAGCGCCGGGGGAAGAGCAGTGGAAAGAAAAGTCAGCGGGTGGAGGCTGACTCAAAATTGCCCTTGCGAGAGAGTGAGGAATAGAAAAAGAAAGAGAAGAAAAAGGAAAAACAGAAAGAGAAAGAAAAAAATGTGAAGAAAAGAAAGAAAAAAAAAACAGAAGAAAAAAGAAAATTAAGATTAAGAAAAAGAAGGGGGAGGAAGGAAGAGAAAATAGAAAAAGAAGAAGAAAAAGGAAGAGAAAAATGAAAAATAATGAAAAAAAAAAGAAGAGGAAAAAATGAAGAATCGGGAGGAGAAGAGAAAGAAGGAGAAGATAAAGACTAAAAACAAGAACACGAAAATAGTAAAAATAAGAATAAAAAGGAGATAAAGAAAAAGATAAAGAAAACGATAAAGCAAAAGATACAGATAAGAAGAGAAGTAAAAAGAGAAAGAGGCGGAGAAGGCAGCGGCCGTGGCGAGGAGCTGCACGGGCTCGGCACCGAGGCTGGCCCCGAGCATCCCGGGTCCCCCCGAGCCCCCGCGGACCCCTCGGTGTCCCCGGAGGAGCCACCCCCGCGGGCCCACATCTCTGCAGCG